TCAGAAAACACATCAACGGTATATTCAATAGTCCAGTCTAAACTATGCAACTGAAGTCTGTCATTACAATTCTTCCTATTTTGCAATAACAGATTTTCAATCAAAATTTTATGCTAACATTCTTGTATTTACTTCAGCGCAAACCATTTTGGATCAAAGGTAAGGTAGAAATGAAGACAACACCTCAGTCACTTTGGTATATGGCATGTGACACTTGTGGTTGGATGTCCTTTGCTCAGTTGAATGAAATGTATCTTTGCAATTATTGCAAGTACATGCATGCAAGAGCAATTCCTAGGTAATAATGATAGATATTATATTACTATGTAACAAAAATAATCATTGTTTATGTGGTTTAATTTCAGTAAAAATCAGCTCTTGCTTAATGCTAAATTTAAATTTTTTCCCCCAGAGCAAGGTGCAGTGTTACCATTGGAGATCACACTGGCAACATTATTGCATCATTATTTGGCGATGTGGCCGAAAAATTCTTACACCTACCAGCTGAGAAAATAATGAAAGATAATCTGCTGGTAAGGTTTCTATGTACTATTTATCACATTCAACAAGTTTCCCCAGATGCATAACTTGATACTACATTGTTTAATATTTTATATATAGCCACATCATGTGATTGGTGCTCATAAGTCCAATTACATGGATGAAGACCACTACATTTACATGAAAGTAGGAAACCCCGATCCAAAAACTCACCAAACGAGGTTCGATGTGGTATATATTCTTGATGACAACCGTGAACTGGAAGACACATCTCCAATAGTGTCTCCATATGATGCGAAGAATAAAGTTTCATTCCATTGCACGAATTCCTCTACAACCAGTCAACAATTCCCACCTGCTGCACGAAGAAATCTGGTCTTTGAAACAGAAACTGTTGAGCAACCAAAAAAACAGAAGATGATATCATCCGACGATCCTAAAAATGAGAGCGCTGCAGTTCACAAACCTGACAACATCATTACTACAACAAAGTAACTATCCCATGCCTTCAACAGTTCAAGTAGCAACTTAAATGTTTTTCTTCTTTTGCTAAATTCAGATGTTGGGTATCATTTTGCAGGAACTTTGGTAGCAACGTGGGCAAATGAACAACAACAAAATAGTTGTTTTTTGAACTCCTTTTGACTGAATCCCATGCCTTCAACAGTTCAACTACCAACTGAAATGTTTTTGTTCTTTTGCTAAATACAAATGTGGGGAATCATTTTGCAGAAACGTTGGCAACAACATGGGCTAATCAGCAACAACAAAAAAGTTGTTTTTTGAACTCCTTTTGACTCAACGACTATTTTGTATAAGACCATATTACAACTTATGCATGACATGAGCTTCATTTTAGTTTTTGGAAACTATGTTTATATGTTGGACAGGCACAGTGTACTATGTTAATGTATATATAGTAATTGTATATATGGAATCTATTGCACTCTTAACTTTTGCAAGTCAAAGTACAGACTCTCAATACCTAATTTATTTCCGTTCTATTCAGTTTTTTGGATGACTATCCTTGCAACACTAAGAAAACTTTCTACTTACAGGTTCTATGGTGACGGATACAATTAAGAAAGTTGACAACATACAACTAAATCCTGCATAATCTAAAATAGAACATTGTTATAACAAAATCTATATTCAAATTATAACAGTCATCGTGCAACGCACGATCCTCCACTAGTACTATATAAAAGTGACATGCTTGTGCAAAGAAGTCAAGGCACGATCAAATGTGTCACCCCCAATGTAATTTTCAATTGCAAAGTCAGTGGGAACCATCATCAAACGATTCAAAATTAAATTGATATCATTTGACCTCAAAAGTCTTGTTTGATAAGTATGCACATATGAAAATTGCATACATAAAAAATTAACGAGATTTTAAGTTCTTGTTTGGTGTTGTATAGTACTATTCACTTAACTTGTTGAACTTAAAAAGTAGATGAAAATTGCTTATTTTCTCTCGAGACTTTCAACTTAACTCCTGTTTGACAAACATAAAAATGAGTTTTATTTAGGAAAAATGAGTTTTGGAATAGTAATTTTTTAGAGAATTTATGATTAAAAAATAGAAAGAAAAAAATCATGTTTAAATGCAGAATATTTTATTGTGAGAATGTGATTGAAAATAAGTTTGAGAAAAAAATTTATTTTAATGATTGTCAAATTGGGGCTTAATGGAACACAAATTCATGATTTTTTCTTAGAGACAGTGGCACGTGTTAATCAAGGTAGTACCTGTTAAAAATAATGCTTAGGGGGGTGTTTGATGAATATTATTAAAGAAATAATATATTTTAAATAATAATATGATGAGAAATATGTGGTTGAAAAGTAAGGAAAAATTATTGATGTGATGAAAAATATTATTTTATTGAAAAATGTGTGGTTGAAAAAAAGTTTTGAAAGAATGTATTTTAAAAGAATGCGTGCCAAACAGGGACTTATTTTATTTTAATAACAACATTTTTACTTATTGAAACAAATAAATTATTAGACATATTTAACTTTCAGAAATAAAATAAAGCATCATAGCAGAAATAAAATGCGCGATCTCTACCTTGACTTTATTTATTGGAATAAGATTTGATTTTAATTCTCTAAAACAAGTTAGATTGTATAAGCAACATATTTTAACTTTTCTGTCTCACTAATGTGATGCAGTTAGCATATTTAAAATTGAATCGAATATTGAATCGAAAAAAAATAAATTGAAAAAGAAGCAAGATAGAATAAAAGGGTTATGCCACTTTGTGAGAATCATTTCGTATGCTAGGTTGTCATTTTCATGTGCAACTCAATTAATAAACATATTGCTAGACAGTGTTTCTTCGAAATATTTTAGATAAACTAGAAAATATTGCTTGTCAAGTCTTAAGTTTGCTCCACAATGGTTATCAGTTCGAGTCCCCTCAAGACCACTAAGGTAAGTATTCGATCATAAATTTCAGGGCCCAGTGAAATTAATCGAGGTGTGTGCAAGCTGATTCAAACATCCACGGTTATCAAAAAAACAAATGTTTGATAACAAATTTGAACATAATAAAAAGAGTCTTGATTTGTTTTGTTATTTTTCCCATAAATACACATTCAACTTGACTAACTCGGCCTAGTGGAAGTCCACCAGCTTGACCTAATGAATGAGTTAGTCTAGCTTTGAACATGTCCGATTCGATTCAACCATGACAATCAAAATCTTTAACAAACAAACAATTTCTTTTAAAAAATAAATGTACTAGACGAAAAAATAAATTCATTAAAGCACAAATCTTCAGAAAAAAATGAAAATAAAAACAAGAAAAGAGAACTAAGCCCCAATTTTCAACAGTTCCTCAAACGATAAAAAGTTCGAGAACGAAGGATTGATCTTTGAAGAAACGTGTTAAACGACACAAACAAAAATATGATATTTTAGAATTATAATAAATTTTAACCTTACTACTTGTAAAATGATTGTAGTTTTTTCTCTTTCTCTAGACACATCCTCCACATGAAATTTCCTCAATCTCAAATATCCTATCTACTATTATTTTATTAAGATATGTTACATAATTAAACTATATTTAGTTAGACATGTTTCATGTAATGAAGTCCACATAATTAAATATTATTAAGGAGAAAAAAAAATCCAACAATTAATGTTTAATTATACCAATCTTGCATTTAAAACATGCCAATTATTCGATGATCAATCACGCCCTTCAAGAATGTGCGATACAATCATGGTCTGCGTGTAAATTATATGACAAAGAGCCAATTAATAAAATGTCAACGTTTTAGAGTGATTCTTTATAAGATGTGATTGACACCGTGCTTTTCTATAATCTTTTTTTTCTCTCTCTCACTATTTTTTTGGTTGTTTCTTGGGTATTTGTTAAAAATTTAATTACTTTAAATCGAAGGAAATGAAATTAAAGAAATTGGCAGTAAGGAATAATAAAATATCTCATGAATATCGGGACAAAAAGCCAGAGATATTTGATTTTTAGGGTATTGAAATTCTAAATGTTTTTGCAATGATGTCCACAAAAATATATGGTTTAAAATCTTGCATTGAAATTAAGGACCATTCGTACTTAGCACGAAGAATCCCTAGTTCAAATTGAAATATGCAAGGATCTATCCAAATTTAGAAATTTTGTCAAAACCGAAGCTAATGTAAAAGTGATAAATGAAAATATTCATTAGTCAAATAAATTAACTGAGTTGAAATATTATTTCACATCTGTTCATATTTAGGTTACAAGATGAGATGCCAACAAACTTTAAACTCACGGTCGAACATTACGACTTCCTCTTTCTAGATTTTCATTTATAAAAATAAATATAGATTAGTTTTAAATTTATTGAGAATAAAATTTAGTTTGTAATGATTATTGATTAAAACATATCTTAAAGCATAATCTATCAAAAAATGAATGGATTTCTTTAAATTCGATCTTCAATAATATGTCTCGTCACGTGCTTGTCGAATATATAATTTTTTTATAAATCGAGACGATTTAGCTGATCGCTACTCTATTGGCAAATATGTTGATTGTTGAGAATATGTCCATATACAGAGCTTGTTTGGAAGGAATTTTTGGAGAAAGAATTGATTTTGAATAGTGATATGATGGAAAATGTATGGTTGAAAAAGAAAAAGAAATTATTGATGTGATGAAAAATGTTATTTTATTGAAGAATGTGTGGTTGAAAATGAGAATTGATTTATTGTATAATTTGAGAATCTCTCACAAACACTCCCACAATATACATGACAATGTATTGGTTAATAAAACATTTGCATATACTGTATGAATAATACTATTTATCATTATAATGATAGAATATCAGTTATGTGACAACTTGCTATCCCATTATATATATAACTTGCGGGGGGTATGAATACAACTTGTGAATTCATATTTCACACATGAGAACTCCTACTTATCCTCACCCCCATCCCATCACATCCCATCCCATCCCACTAACTATACATATGAGAGAGTTGTACTCATTTTGTTATAATATCTATATGTGTATGTAAAGATGATGTCCGAGCAGCAACAACAGATGAGGTTGAACTTGAGGAAGAGAAATGATCATAGTAGCAGATCAACCCACATAGAAGAAGATGAAGAAAAACTTCAAATTGTTGATCTAAGTGGGATGTCTTTGGAGGTCCTCCCTAATCCTCCTCTCAGTTTAGGAACCATTTTCAAATTAGACCTCTCCAACAATAATCTTCAAGTGCCATTTCGATCAAAACTTTGTCGTTTCATTTCTTTTCATGTATTAAGACTCGAGATTCCATCTTAAAAATTCAATTATGATAAGATGAGTAGTTCAAAATCTTTAGTCGATTTTTGATTCTATATATCCTTGACATGTTCTTTTGATGCAACACAAAAGAAGAGTTGCTTAGAGTCTTGTTTGTTTGGATCATTGTCGATGTAACAATGAAATAATTAGAGGGACAAGAAAGAATGTGTAGGTGCTTGTTGTTTTGATAGTATTATTTGGCTTTCTATTATGTATTTTTCTTCGCTTTAATTTTAGTTTTTCTCCATTTGATAGTGTATTCCAGAGTCTTTAACAGCAAGACTCTTGAATGTGGTTGTGTTGGATGTGCATTCCAATCAGCTCAAATCCCTTCCAAATTCAATTGGATGTTTGTCAAAGCTCAAGATTTTGAATGTAGCAGGCAATCTTCTCCAATCACTTCCTCAGACCATCGAAAATTGTAGGTTCATTCTTTCTCCTCTCCCTTTTCTTTACGGATAATAATTTTGGGGTGAGGACGGTTATGTGAATCTTTTTGTCCTATTCGATAAAATTATAAGTCCCGACTTGAGGCCAAGTTAATTTTATCTATCAAGCCTAATGCAGATACAATCTTTTTCTCGATCATATAAGAGTGCCTTCTATGCATTTTAGTAGGTCATACATGTCCATAAGAAGTGATCCTATTTTTTTCTCGTTGCGGACGTATAGACCAAATAGTTTAACTCTAATATTTTAATTAACAACAAAATGCTTCATCAAGACGTGCAGCATAGTTGTTAATTTCTTTGTATTCTAAAATGTTTGTCTCAATCATTTGCACCTGGTTGTATAGATTGATATTAAGCCAAATCCCAGACACTATCGGATTTGAGCTTCTCAGCCTCAAAAAGCTTTCTGTCAATTCAAACAAGCTTGTATTCCTTCCTCATTCCACCTCCCACTTAACCAATCTACGAGTTTTAGATACACGTCGTAATTGCCTTCGATCCCTTCCAGAAGATCTCGAAAACCTTATCAACCTACAAGTCCTCAACATTAGCCAAAATTTCAAGTACTTGACAACCCTTCCATATTCCATAGGCCTCCTCATTTCTCTAGTCGAATTGGATGTAAGCTACAACAAAATCACAGCCTTACCCGAGTCCATTGGTTGCCTCAAGAAGCTCCAGAAGCTCAGCGTTGAAGGAAATCCACTCGTATCACCTCCAATGGACATTTTCGAGCAGGGATTGCTGATGGTGAAAGAGTACCTGTGTGAGAAAATAAATGGATCTCATAAGAACTCCCCAAAGAAAAAATCATGGTTTGGAAAGTTGGCAAAATGTAGTACTTTCAGTGGTGCGAACTTACCCCTTGATGATAGAGAAGGGTACATAATGCAGAATTATAGGTCCATTGAACACCTGGCATCACCTAGATATATGGGAATGTTTTCTCCAAAAAGTTTATTTTCACCAAAATCCTACCGTTCTAGATGAAGTTACATGTTGTGGATTTGCATACATAATTTGTTAGTTTGTAGCATTGTGTTATAAGAGTGTAAATTATTGACATGCTTTAGGCATATTGAAGTTGTATATTAAACCTCATACCATTTCAAACACCCAATTTCTGTGTTGTTAATTATAATGGTTCATCAACTCATTTTGAAATGCTTGATTAGTCCATACTAATTTGCATAAATGTGAAAACAAGAAAATGAAATTGGAAAAAAAAAATTATAGTTAGTCTTTTTTCTTTCCGCTTTTTTGTTAGTTTATGTAATTTGGGAAAACAATGCCTTTCAAAATTTAAGTTGCATCAAATTCTATCATGTCCTTGTTAACGTTGCTTGCCAATGAATCCATACCACTCGAACTCATGTACCTAACTAATTGTTTCCTGTGTTACACACCCCATCTAGTTGAATCAAACTCGGAGGAAGGGTAAACATCTACCAATCAACTCAAACTTGATAAGTATATGTAGTATATGTAATATTTTTCTCTTCATTAAAACCTTATCAAGAAAACTCAATAGGACAAAACTTGAGATAAAGAAAAGGAGTACAAGTGATCCCCTTGATTTCAGTTCTTGTATCAATCGATCCATATCTTGTATGTCAATGTCTTCAATATTGATACCTTGTACTTCAATGTCTTCAATAAAATCTAGTGAGACAAAACTTGTTAACTGTAGTAACACGATGATTCAAAAATTAGCTTTTGTTGATCTTTTCGAGAGTATCATACATATCAAAGTATTATTTTGACAGTAAATGTCTTTTAGATTAGGGACATTCATTACATAAAGAATATGACTCATTAAAACTTAATTAGGAAAAACCCTGTGAAAAAAATCATATGAAAACCCAATGGGACAAAACCTTGACTAAGGGAAAAAGAGTACAACGCATATTTACTCGTCATCATAATAATATCACTTGAATTATATATTTCAGGCATATTAAATCTTTTAAGATAACATTAATAGCCATGCTAGATGATTGGCAATAATCAAATTTATTATATGCATACCAAATATCATGTATTGTCACATAACAAGGTGGGGACTTGTGATTACATCTGCCACATGATTACTTATATATTTATACAACTTTTCGCGAAATTCATTATGTGAAGAGTTATACATTTCATATTACGACTTTATTTTTTCTATTTTCATTTTGTATAAGTATACACTTTTAGGTGTTCAGATTATAGATCCAAAAATTTCGAGTTTCTCTAGTAAATTCAACTTGTTGGGATTGTATCCATTTATTTGGCCAATCATTTCTTCGATCGATATGTTTCAATAAATTTATTTCGATTCATAATATGATGCAGTACATCATGTGCAAAAGAGTTGTCGACAATTTTTTCTTTCTTTTCAAATTCTATTTCTTTTCCCATAATGACATAACTTATTGAGATATCTCAATTTTCATTATTTCAAGTACATGAACCTCTTATAGAGTTTTAAAACTTGTCATGTCTAAATACTCATAGGGTATATACCCCCTTAATGAGACCATCTTTGTTAATTACTTCATTTTTCGTTTGAAAATTTTTATATTAGAATTGAATATCATCACGCTTCAGATGTACTATAAATTTATCAAATATAATACTAACAAATTTTCCTCCTAGGACATCAATTTGTGCTGGAGCATTTAAAACTAGTATGTGAGATATTATTAATCTCTTTGATCAATAAATGCATCTAAATAAATTATCTTTCGAACTTCTGATTCGAATTATCTTTTATGAGAATTTAGATAATGATGCATTTGTCCAATCAAAATTGACAACCAACAAACCGCGTTATAAAATATCATCCATTTGAGATAAGGGTTCAAACTACGTATTTATTCTCGGCATTCTTTACTTCACATCTCATTGTGTTATGGTGGGTTAATTTTATACATACTACACTAACAAAATAATTAGATGAAAAATTAGGCTATAACTATAAGCTAATTATAATAGGGAAAACTATGATATTGACATGATGCGTAAAAACATTTCCTTAATAGAAATGAAAAGTATTTTGTTCTTAATTAAATTAATATGAGGTGTTTCAACAAGTAATAGAGTTAAACCATTTATCGATATCTCAACTAACACTTATTAAAATATTGAGGTTTAGGATCATTAACATTAACAAGACACACTATCTTTATTGTATAATTTGAAAATTATGCTCATAATTTGAGTTGTAATAGCAAATTTCAAGTTGCGAACACTATGCAACCATTTAGTATTTATGTCAAATCTATTATGTACAAATAATAACTAGATGATCAACTTGGATGATGATGGGACCTCATTTATCACCACGATTAATTTTTAGAAATATAGGGAATTCAATCATTATTTTAGCTAGTGATGTTTAATGATGAATTTTTTTATAAAGAGAACAAATAACATACAGGAATTCATTTGATTGAAAAAATTTCTAGTTCTTCGTTGAATGTCCATTTGAATTTTTAATTTCGCATCATTGTTGATCAAGTGGTGGTCTAGTTGGTCATGTCAAACAGTAAAATTAAGATATATAATTCAATATTTAATTTTGAATAATATGATTAGATATTATATTATTATATAACAATCAATCAGTAGTCAAACTAATCAATGTCAATATGACATAATTATATATTGGGTAATTGGCACAAAACGTCCCTACCTTTGGGATTGATTTTGAAAACCGTCCATACCTTCATTTCTTGACATTTATACCCTTACCTATCACTTTTCGTGNTGTTCTTAATTAAATTAATATGAGGCGTTTCAACAAGTAATAGAGTTAAACCATTTATCGATATCTCAACTAACACTTATCAAAATATTGAGGTTTAGGATCATTAACATTAACAAGACACACTATCTTTATTATATAATTTGAAAATTATGCTCATAATTTGAGTTGTAATCGCAAATTTCAAGTTGCGAACACTATGCAACTATTTAGTATTTATGTCAAATCTATTATATACAAATAATAACTAGATGATCAACTTGGATGATGATGGGACCTCATTTATCACCATGATTAATTTTTAGAAATATAGGGAATTCAATCATTATTTTAGCTAGTGATGTTTAATGATGAATTTTTTTATAAAGAGAACAAATAACATACAGGAATTCATTTGATTGAAGAATTTTCTAGTTCTTCGTTGAATGTCCATTTGAATTTTTAATTTCGCATCATTGTTGATCAAGTGGTCGTCTAGTTGGTCATGTCAAACAGTAAAATTAAGATATATAATTCAATATTTAATTTCGAATAATATGATTAGATATTATATTATTATATAATAATCAATCAGTAGTCAAACTAATCAATGTCAATATGACATAATTATATATTGGGTAATTGGCACAAAATGTCCCTACCTTTAGGGTTGATTTTGGAAACCGTCCATACCTTTCATTTCTTGACATTTATACCCTTACCTATCACTTTTCGTG